GTTCCAAGTAATTTTTTTTTAACTTTATAAGATGGTCGTATGGTATCTTTGCAAATTTAAATAAGACTTTTTCATTGATTAGTTTATGCCATTATTGCGTAATTACCGATTTTATGTGAAAATTGTTTGGGCAAATTTGAACTATGGCAACACTACTAACATCGCATTCACAGGTTCTAACTTCTAACCCATAACCTAACTATTTGATTTAGAATTTGTATTTAATATATTCGGAGTATGTTCCTTCTGAATCCGAAAATTGATAAGGCGATCTCAGGGCTCAATATTTTCTAAATTAAAAATAGCTCTTCGGTTTGTAACAACAGGTGGGTCAAAGATGTGTAAAATTAAGCTTCTTATTAAATCGTGATCCACATGTCCCTGATCATTTCGGTGCAGAAAAGCAGCTTCAATGTTTTCTTCCATCTTAGCCCCTTTTTGTTTAATAACAATACAAACTTAAACTAGCTTTGAAACTTTTCCAAATAAAAGGGGATAAGAAAACAATAAAGTGAGGTGTATTTTATTAAGCCTGCAATAAACGCGGTATCAAAAACTAAAAAACGCAGTAAAACGTTAAGTATTTGCCTGAACACCTAATTTTTTTACACTGCGCATGATCACAATAACGTTTAGCGTTTAAGGCCAACGTAATTTTTAAGAGGCCTAAAAACTCTCTATTACTACGGCCTCCAAGTGTGGTATCTGGAGTTCAACTTTCTAAACCTGAAGCTAAGGAAACAAAACAAATAGCTAGCTTGAGGATTCACATTGAACGGGTGATCAGACGGTTACGAGAATTTAATATGTTCAAAGCACATGCTTGCCTTATCATAAGTTTGGTCAAAGTTCTTGATGATGTAATTACAATAGCGTGTGGTTTAATTAATTTGCAAGATTATCTTATTAAATAAATATACTTATTAAATATATGCATTTTCATTTTCAATTCTATACTTTTATACACCAATGGGTATACATAGGAGCTCCAGAATGTTAATAAGCCTTTAATAAAATCTGACACATATTTTCATCAAATTTTTGCGAATAAGATGTTTACATTTTTATTTGTAGAATAATTAGGATCAGCCACACAGAAAAGACCACTCAGATACATTGGCATTTGCACATGAGCGCAGCATCTCTCAGTAGGTTTCCCATTTGATGTGTAATTTCGACAAGTTTTTTCACTTATTAGGCACTTAATCTCGATAATTCTGTCCTGAAATATGCCATCAGGTGAAACAGCTATCATCGGATAGTCTCTCACTATTATTAGTCCGCAGCTCTATTTTTCCTTAGATTCAAGGTAACCGTTTCCCACTTCGTTCTCTAAAGATCTTCCACGTTTCATGGTTGGTGTCTGGTGTTCTGGTGTCTGGTATTCTCCCACTTTTTTGCACCGACTGATTTCATAAGCCCAAGACACTGAAACCCGCCCATACCTTAATTCGAACCAAAGGCTATTTTTTCAAAGATTTCAAAGAAGCTAGATTTTGAGACTATCTTTTCAAATTGGAACCTACTGACATAGAACTATTGATATGGAACCTATAGGAAATACCTAAACTCTCACTAAAATCTCAGATAATCTTAGTTGGTCTATAAATGTAATTAAATTGTTTTAAGAGCCATTCATTTTTAAAAAATAATTTACTTGCTTTTGTAGGAAGTAAGTATTTTCCACAATCACAGGGCTTGAAAAGTGGTCCATGACTTATCTTTCGATTTTTTAAGTTTTCTCCCCATTTTAATCTCATTACTTAACTGTAAATTTGTGTTCAAAATATCTTTTTTGAAAGAAATTTTAGAAAGAAAATCTTACATTTTGAATACCATATTAACTCCAAAACCACCACTGTGCAGCGCATATACTTGATTTTTTTAATTTTCGATAAGTTTTATATTGTTCCACCCCAGTGTACAACGTATCGTAAGCTCCAAGTTATTTTCGATGTAATTAACGTGTTTTTTAAATATTTTATTTATAAGTTTATAGAAGTATAAAATGTACCTATAAAATGAAGTTATTATTAAAGTGAATTCCGATTTTAGAGTAGTGAGAGAGTAGTGAATGAAATAGAAATAATTGTACTGTGTCTGAGGGGGTTGCAGCCCCATAGCCCCCTTGGATTCGCCACTGCTGCAAATGGTATGGTGTGTAGAACAGTTTTACACTATTTATCCTTTTCTGGTCGCATGTGAATAGGGTATTTATTTTAAGTTGGTTGATAGATTCTACATTGCTAGATTCCATCGGCTCTAATTCCTTTATTAAATTGAAATGAGAAAATCCCTGTGTGGAAATCTGTAACAACCATTGTTTTGACCAGCATTTCCTTTTCTTTTTGTTCAAATGTGCTGTTAGTTTGGGTTAGTTCGACGCTTTGAAAGAACGATACGATCACACATAGAACAAAACACTGGTAAATTGGGACCAGTGATTGCAACGTTTTGCGGCTATACCTACCAAACTTCTGTACAGATTGTACCCTGCAGATTGCCTTGTGAGTGGGCCGCTTTAATGCCCGTCTAAAATTGATGTTGCCAATTTGATTTTAACTATTATTATTTGAGTCTAGTTTATCCCAATTTGAACTTGAACCAGTGTAGAATCGTGTGCTCATGAGACAAAATTTCCCGGTTAATGTTTATTTACAATTGTGAAAGTATCAGGCTTTATTGCACTGTAGCAGGCTTTTTCAGTCTGATCTAACAGTATTGAAAAATAAAACAAATGCGAAAGTATAGCATCAATAAACCTAACTCACTATACATACAGGGTGGTTTTTTAGTGCGATAGAGTCCATCATTTCCGATGATGTTGAACTTTCGAAAAATAGTTTCGTATAAAAGTTGTTGACTCATAAAGTGTGCACATTTTAAAATATCTTATATGATACAGAGTCTCAGAAAAGCGAGGCAAGATCAAAATGCATTTTTTTTAAATAGAACTACACATTTTTCATTAGCTCAGCTAATGCAGCTTGAGACGCTGCATATGCACCGTAAATTTGTTTTGTTCTTACTTGCTACGTTGTCAGAGTATCGCCATTTTAGTAAAATTTTGCTTAACAACATGGCATCTAAAAATTCATTGTAGAAGCAAAAAAAGCACTTAAAGATACCAAAAATATGTCTTTCCAATCACCACAGATCCGTCAAGAACTCTATTGAACCAAAATATCAATACATTGTACAGGGTGTTCATAATGTGAACTTCAATCTAAAACTTTTAACGC